AAGAATTTGAATCCAACGAGATAGGTTTTAGGTATTTGTTACACTTTGGGAACTAAACGAGATGAACAAAGAATAAAGGAATTATTTCTTTCCACACGTGAGAAAGACTTTCACATATGAAAAAGAAGGGGGGCAAATTTTATACCCAAATTTATTATGGTTCTTGACCCAATAAATTGAATAGAAAAAATGAATAAAGCGCATCAAGTTTTTCATTAGGTTTTATTTACCCTCATTCTACATTGCCTTCATTTAAAGCTCACTTGGATATTTTTTATTTATTTAAAAAAAATGTCATTCGTAGCCTACCAAACCTAACAAACGTACTTGGCCTAACAAAACAACTTGGATGAGACTACTAGAACACTTTCAATAAGTCGGTGAGAGGTAGGTGGAAGAAGGACTCTCATTGAGGCAAAATTATGAAGAAAACATGGGAAAACATTCTTTTTTTAAGGATGAGAGTAATCAACAAATAGTTAGCGTAAAGATAATTGAAAAATAACAAAATTCTAACAACAATAAAAGCATTATTCAAATAGTTTGAAGAAATGTGAGAGATTGTAACACAAAATAGCATAGCGAGAATAAGAAATGTGGAGCATTGCAATGCAAGAAAAGAAGAACATGGAGCAATACGAGTATATGAAAAAAGTGGTCTCCTATAGAAGATCATAGAGGAGCAAGAAGCTTATAAATACCAACTACATTAGAAGAAGAAAAAAACACACAACAATACAACACATAAATGAAACTCTTACAAATAGAAAACGACTCGAGAGTACTTTCACAAGTTTCAACACTTGAAACCTCTTAGGTAGTAGATAATAGGAAGTAATTTGTAAGCTATAGTCTATAGGCGATAATTTATAGCTTGTACCGTGTAGGTCGTAATCAAATAAGTAGTAATATGCTAGCTAGTAGGTGGTTTATGATTCTATGCTCATGCTTGCAAAGATCATCATCCTCGGTTCTTTCAAGATTTGTCATGACTAGAGTGCCAATTTGTGACTATTCTTTATTTCCTTTGAATACAAGTTTGTCATTTTCAAACTAAAAGCATTGTAAAGACTACAACATTGTATTCTCCGAACATTAATTAAGGCTTGAAGTGTGTAATTATTAGATTCATGTTCATTTTGCGGTTTATATTTTTTAGTGTTTCAATCGTTTAATTTCGTAATTCTTAATCTAGTTTTATTGTTTTGATTGCATATTGACCTAAACAATTTAATACTTAGTTTAAATTATTTCTATTATTTTGAGTTGTTATCCTTGTAATCGTACAACCCAAACGGTTTGGGAGGTCGTGATTCTTTACCAAGGGTTTTTAAGCCTATTACAATTACATTAATTTAGTTCGCTTATAACATAAAACATCAAAAACATCATTAGAATTAATGGTAGATTATTTTATATAGTTAATTTAAATCATTTACATGATAGAACGATTAATTGTTCTACGGACGATTTCTAGTTTAGATGATGAGATGAAATAATAATAATAATAATAATCTATGCTCCTCAGCATAAAATAATTTTTGAAATGATATGGGAGAAAAAGGTTTGGTTGTGTAATGAAGCTCGCATTTTCTCTTCTTTTTTTTTTTCACTTACATATTGGTTAGAACTTTTTCAAAAATTCAAAATCTCACCGTGACTAAATCTCATAATTACATATTGATCAAGATCTATGGATCAACTACAATACTTTAACTTAAAACTATTTTATATATTTGTTTCTTGGCTTTAAAAGTTTGATTACAAATACTTAAAATGCTTACGTTAAATTACGAATTGACCATAAATGTTTTTCATTTACTTCATTCAAATCTCTAAACTATTTTAATTTGATTAATCTTATCATATTAATTTATTGAATGTATATATAATAATTATTCGAACGTACTTCACATAGTTGTACTCTTTTATTATTATTATTATGATTATTATTGATCGATCGATCGATTGATTTTTGAACTTTTAACATTACAGATACAACAAGACTTACTTATAAATTATGATTTTTCAGATTTTTCCCTGCTTTCTCTAAAGCTCCTAGCTTTACTGCTCGTATCATATAATTTCCGGACCAACATCGGTCTTCTCTTCTTTTCTCAGACGGGATGGGATTGGGACCACCCAAGATTCTTCTCTACGTGCCAAAAACAACGTCTTTGCTGTCTCTATACTAGTCGCTTTCTTGGATCTACTACCTGCTGTAGCCGGTCACTATAATCCCCTAGATTTGGCAACTCTTTCATGAGGTCGCTTATACCATCCTTGGTTGGCAATCTTACTTGACAGAGCCGCGGTAACTGCAAATACTTTTTACGATTTATTTACCATTTTAATAAATGTGAGTACTGTGAACTGAGTGCGTTGTCTTTTTTACCCTCGTTAGCCGGTGGTTGGCATTCGTTGCTGCTAGTTAGCCGGTCACCAAGTCCCTATATAAATGGAGGGGGGCGATAAATGGATTGCAAATTAAACAGTGGTGGATAGATCAGTCATACGTTTATTTTTATTTTTTCTCTCAAAGTCATTTCCTCCATCCTTCCTTCCCTGTCAATGCTTATCATATTTTTTTTTAGTTGTTCTAGTTTTTTCATTGCTAATTGATTTGTTGTCTAGAGAAACAAAACTATTTAACAATGACACTTACGCAGATATACAAATGCAATTTCTTCCTTTATTATTTTTTTGATAAAGATACAAAGTACAAACAGATATGATTGGCTGATTATTGGTGAATGCAAACAGTGAGTATATACTGATCATAGATTATATATGTCATCATCAAGCGTGCATGCATTTAATTAACAAAACTGTGTTTTGCATTTTAATTACGAAATGAATCTAACAAGTTGTGCTTGTGTATATATATGTATATATATAATGGCAGATGATGAAGGGCAAGACATGCATTTAGGGCATGAATGAGAGAGAGAGGTGAGGATGGTCGATGGTCATGCAAGTTGACAGAAGAGAGGGAGCACAATCCTGTAATAGCTAAAGAGAGTCTTTGCTTTTGTTGGACTGTGCTTTCTCTTCTTCTGTCACCATTAATAACCACTACCGCCACAATATCCTCTCTTTGATTTAATGTTATACATCCACCACCAAAGTACGGCATCTTTGTTTATAGTAAGATCTTCTTCACCCTGCCTGCTATGGATATTTGTTTAATTTTTGCTGCTTCGTTCCAACTGGTAATAGGTTATATGTGCATGGAGTGAAGGATACCTTTGAAATTATATACAACTTTATTTTCGTTTCTATATATATATATATATAGAAACAAACGAAAATATAGACGTTAAGCTTAATTTGGGGACTGATGGAATATCATTTTATTTGTTTTGATTGGAAATAATGCAAGGAAGCAATCAATCAATTAAAGGGAAAAAATCAGGAAATTAACGAAATATTGAAGTATAGATCCTGAAATTGCAAGATAGCTTGTTTAATCATCAATTATCACCGCTAGTTTATGCTGAAAGGACAGATCATCATGACATATGGAAAAATGTAAACAATTTATGCATTTTATTTAAAGTGAATTACAATATTACAAAAAAAAAAAATCTCTTCTTAAAATAGTTATCGTAATTCACCCTTTTCTCTCTCTTCTAAAGAAACAAATAATGAAGAATTGGTAATTCTAAGCCCAAAGAAAGCAAGGACTCCACGTTCAGTTATCACCACTACGTACGTAACATGTTTGAAGTACAAAAGTCATCACTCCTTGGAATTACAAAGATTATGAACACCTAAAGGTATTTGATCCGGCATTTGCTCCCATCTCTGTATGTTTGGACTCAAATTTCTTACAGATTCTTGAGATTCTGCTTTGTCAAACCATATAGTTAAACTTGTAGATCATAGAGTGTAGCAGTAAATGTTGAGAGGGACTGTCTGAAGCAAGCACTTGTTATCATTTATGAATCATACTTCAGCTGTATGCATGATGGTTAGAAGTACTTCTTTGCTCATAAGATCAAATGTAACGATTGCTGAAAAACAAACCAGTATATTTTCTATTGTACAATTTGCCTCAGTACAACGATGATTTTGCAACGTTTGTGGGCAAACATCCAAGCAAAATATGCTTACAGTGAGGCGTGAAAAGAAATAGAGTACAGTTACTGGAGTGGGAGGCTTAAAAATAGGAAGGACCTGAGAGTACACTTGAAATATAGGAAGGAACAGAGACAAAGACTATCAAAAGTTTGGCAATTGATGACCTGATGATGTGCATTAAAAAGAGGAAAATAAATTGAGAAGATGGCTTCACAAGCTATTACCAAATAGAGATGTTGACTGTGACATGAAATGTGTGTGTGTGCATATATATATATATATATACCATTTCCTTTAAAAGGCCAAAAGATGGACCCCGTAGACTCCCATCTGTTCCTCACTGCCTCACACTTCGACTCTGCCTCTGCTTCGATCACTTCATCAAACAGAGTAAAGCCTCTGTAAATCAAGCGAGTTTCTTTTTTCCATTGTGTTTAAATGTCCTTTGTAAATCCAACCAGTTCCTTTGTTACACATTTTGCAAGAAAAGAAATAAAGGATCAAGTGTTGGAGAAAACAAGAGGAAAAACACTATTCAAACCGGGATTTGAAATGAAACGTGTAGGCATGTAGTGAATCAGTTTAAAACCCATGGAACCGCATCACCAAAACGATTAAAAAGCTTTCTTTATTTCTGTGTTGGTTTCTCTTATATTAACGCAGAAGCGAAAAATTCAGTGCCAAAAAACTTGTTTGATTATGGTAGAGATCAGATACACATTCAAAGTGTTAAAAGAACTTTTCCTATAATATGTTCAAGATATGGTCGAGACCACATAGTTCAATACAATAGTTTTGAACTAAGGCCGAAGAACTCCTACAGTCTCTAATCACTGAATACAAACTAACAAATTTAACAAATTGAAAGAATCAAACAATCAATAAAACTTGAGTCAGCTATAATGTCTTAAACGACACTAGTCAGAATCAGAAACAATGTCCTCAAGCGTCAATGCCAAGCCGCAAGAGAATGTGAGGCTCGGTTTCTTCCTCGGCACTGCAATAGGCTCAGCCTCACCGTTGAGGATTTGAAGGACTCTTCTCATGGTAGGCCTCCCCATGGCATCCGGATTAGCACAACTCAAACCCACAAGCAAGAGCTTCCTCATTTCTACCTCCTCAAACTCTCCATTCAACCTACTGTCAGCTGCTTCAATGATCTTTCCCTCACCATACAGTCCCCAAACCCAGTCAACCAAATTCACCATTTTTTGGCTAACTGGTTCTCTCTCAATCGGCCTCTTACCGCAAGCCAGTTCAAGTATCACCACTCCATAGCTAAAAACATCGGTTTTCTCCGTTGCTTTACCACAATGGAGATACTCAGGAGCTAAGTATCCCATTGTCCCAGCAGTCAGCGTTGAGACAGGACTCTTGTCGTGTTCCATTAGCCTTGCCAATCCAAAGTCACCCAGCCTTGCATTGAAGTTTCCATCGAGCATTATATTACTAGTCTTTATATCTCTATGAATGACTTGTTGCTCGCATTCGTGATGCAAATATGTTAGCGAAGAGGCCAAGCCAACTGCAATCTTTTGCCTATGTGCCCAATTTAAAAGTATTCCAAGCTCAGACCCTTCTTCGTATAGCATCCTATCAAGGCTCCCATAAGGCATGAATTCATACACAAGCAGCACCTCACCCTTCTCAACGCACCAACCTAGTAGTTGAATCAAATTCTTGTGCCTCAGGCAGGCTATAATTGACAACTCAGCAAGGAATTCAGTTTTACCTTCATGGGAATGCTTCGATCTTTTCACCGCAGCAATGGTTCCCGAAGACTTGAAGAAGGCCTTGTAGACATTGCCAAATGCACCTCTACCCACTATTCTGCTTGAATTAAACCCTCTTGTGGCTAACTTCAACTCTTTGTAGCTGAATTCCTTTGGCCCTGTCACCAGCTCGGCTTTCAGGCTCTTAACTCTTTTAATCTTCCGCCACTTCCTGACAGAAATATAACCAAAAGCCACCAGGAACGCACAAAAGAAAGCCGGACCAGCAATCCCAAGACCGAAACCCAGGCTCCTGTGAAGTTTATTTGCAGCATTTGATATAGGGATAACAGGTGTTGTTACTGTGACTGAACTATCGGATACATTGTGAGGATTTGAATTTGGATTCAGAGGAAGGAAGCCAGAGGTTCTGAAGCTCCAATTAGCAACGAGGTGAAGCTCAGTGCTTCCCTCTGTAGAACCGGAAAACCCCACATACATATCCCCTTTAAGATACTCAGAGAGGTCAACGTCTACAGTTAGTAAGGACTTTCTCGGTTTCAAACTTGAATAGCTCATATAAACTTTCAAGACCCTCAAATCATTCTTGTAATCAATCCAAGCTGTGATCAAATCTCCGCTCTTTAAATCAATATCTTGCAAGATTGGATCAGCAGTCTTAATTGAATTAAGGCTATCAATGTCTAAACCAACATGGTGGTCATTTGGATCATTGAAATGGGCATCAAGCCTGGTGTCAAACTCAACAGCCACAAACTTGTTCTTGGTCAACTGCGAAGAATTAACAAGACCCAAGTACCCTCCAGGGCTACCAAGAGTTTGGTTATCTTGTGAAAGAAAAAAAGAGAAACCATCACCAAAAGAGTTTTCATTGACACTAGGGATAGAAAAGCTGAACCTTGTTGAGAAAGAAGCTGTGGAATTGGATTCTTGATCAAAAAAGGGAATTGGGTGGTTGTAGATTACAGTGCCAGAACTTGAAGAAGGCACCGTGGCATCACGTGTGAGGCCAATGACACCTTTCCGGAGATAAGAGTCACCAAGGAGAGTGAGATTCCGGAGATTGAAATAAGGGAACTCAAAACTTAAATTCCTAGCACGTGCTAACACAAAAGGAGAGTCATTGAAGTTGAAGAGAATGAAGAGAAAGATGCAAAAATGTATATTTCTTGGACTCATACTCACTGAATCTTGATTCTCTAATATTTCGAGTTTTAAGAGCGAGTTGTTTTGCTTTCTTGAAGATGAAAGAAGATAACAAGTTATGATGAAAGACGAGAGAATTTGAGAAAGGTTGGTGGGAAAATGGGGTTTAAACGGTTGAAAGACATGGGAGCGTGGGTGGGTCGGTGATTGGGAAAATAAAATAAAAAATCAAAACAATAGACAATCGGATCAGAGGTGGGTCTCAGTGTGTGGACTTTCTTGTACAGTTTTTACAACTGACCGTTTGTATTCAAGATGCTCTGTGATGATTTGATTGTGGCCTTTTCCATGAATTATCCACTTTTAAGATTGATTGACCCAACCCACGACACTACTGATGACTCATTGCTCTTTCTTTGCTGCAACCTTGCTGTAAGCCAGTAATAGATTATTTGGAGGCACTAAATTCCACGTATAGTAGGTACTTTATGATGCAGTTTTTTTCATTAAAAGTTGATATCATTGCCATGGGTGTTCGCAGAAAGGAGTTGGGTATAGCTTTTATGAATCACAATATAGTATTCTTTTTTTTTCTTTTTTTTGGGTGAACATTTAGAATCCTAAAGTTTTAACTTTTAAACAGATGTGGAATCTGAACGGCAACTTAGGAAAGGTATCAGTATGAAATAGCTTTGGAAGGCGAGTCACACTCAAAGTCGAAATGTGAATTTGGACAATTCAACAATGACAGGAGGCCATGTGAATTAATTCCAATGGAAAATAGTTTTATTACACGTCAGTTAGCCGTTGCTTGGACCAAAATGCTGCCCACTGCTATGTCCATTTTAAGCTCATTAAAGAACTAGAATAATAATCAACCAATTTGATTAAAAAATTGGAAAACATCAACGGCCAGCATATCCGACTAAGTAAGAACAGACCCTCCACTTGCCCAAAGATTTGGGAATAATGGAGGTGAATGCTTTCATCTGAATCTGCAGATGTGTTGACCGACAAAACCATCATTTGCAGTTAAGCCAATGTACGATAACATTGCATATCGAGGATTGAGCTTTGGAAATACTACCGAAAGAGCCATGCTTATCCGATCCGAAGTTACTAGAATTTCTAAGTAAATTAGGCTTTAGTTCTACTCATCATAAATAAACAAGACCAACGATGTTTTGTATCCATAATTTCCAAGTCCACTAAAAAATTTGTAATTGTTCGATAAGCTACACTTGCTTTCAGTTGAAAGCCAGCATTACCGTAGGTTGCTGGTCTAGTATAGGTTTTGTCACTTAACCTTCCTCTTGCAGCTGGAAATGACAGCAGCCAGGTGAGCATCAGGACGTTGAACAATTTAAGACATACGTTTTTGTTTGAGTAGATGCGAAGACTGAAATTTGGAAACATGAAAGGATGGATTAGATGAGAAATGAGTGCATCTACTTGAAGGTAGAATGCAACCATGAAGGAAAATAAGGGGAATTAGTTTTAGATGGCTTTCAGTTTTCCATCTTTAACATGGGCCTACAATGGAGAAGAATTGGATATAAGTAATGCAAGCAAAGAAACTGAAGTAGACTAAATTTTTTTATTAAGACAACACAGTACCAAGATAGATCCAAATAATTGATCCCTCCAGGTTCAAGGCTAAGACTTTTTATTTTATCTAAAAAGAAAAGTTTGAGACGAGTATCCAGGTGGAAAGGTAAACAAATGGTGGTGAAATGTTACAGTAAACTGCCACAACAAAAGATTGAAGATGCACCTAGAAGATGTTCACACCAATATGCAATGCCAAATGCATCAAAGCAAACACAGTCTTGCTATTTTCCAGAGTGAAAAATGAAAGCAAACCTTTTACTGGACAAGGGTTTGAAGTTATTGCCAAATGACCTAAGGAATACAATACTGTCAAACTTCATTCCATGCCTGCTGTTTTTGCTGAAGCTTTCTGGGCAAAAGAACTACAAAGCAACAATACAGTTTAGTCCATAAATAAATGTTAAAGAGTTCAAGATACTATGCTATCTGATATACCTTCAGATTTTTCAGGAAAGCTTTCTGGGGTGAAAATGGTTTGTGGGTCTGTACTTTGCTGGGAAGAAACAATAAGACCCACATGATTTTTCCTGCAGAAAGCAAGAATAAGCTTATGAATGCTTCATTAACGCATGGAGAGATATTGAAGTCTCAAAAGGCAAAAGAAGATACAAATTTAACAAAAAGTATATTGCCAAATGAAAATAGTTTTTGTCACTCATCTATTGCAGTAATTCCCAGAGCAGAAAGACCGAGGAGAAGGAAACATCATAAAGAAACAGCACTGCTGCATATCCATGCATAGTGTTCTATGTAAATTAAAAGCCTAATTTTCTTATAAGGGATTTTCTATCAATATGACAAAATTTAGTTGCATACCTGGCCCATGATGGAATATATTTATTATTCTCCATATCATCATTGTCGTCATCTTCATCTTCGTCATCCGAACCTTTGTATGGAGAAATCTCATACGACTGTTCTTGGCTTATGTTAGACATTATGTTGCCATTCCCAGCTGCCTTGGAAAAGACAGTCATTTCCTACAATAACATATAAGTCTGAGCAGGAGCATACCACACAACAGACATTTAGAGAACAGTTTTTTATTGAGAACTTTCTACAAGGTGGCCAGTAGTAAGGAAAAGAGTCTTATTGTTATGTCATCCAATCTCCCATGCAATGATCCATTATAAAAATGACCACGCTCCATTTGCAAGGAACATTTTATGCATGCAAAGTTCAGCAAAATCATTAATTTTAAGAATCCTACTTGAGAGCACCAACTTCAACAAGGTAGAAAATAAGAAATATGAGAACAAAAACACTCACCATTAACAGAAAATAGAAACCAGAAAACTTCTTCCTTTTAGTGAGAAAGGGACAATGATTTTGCTCATTGCCTATGTTCCAATAGGAATTATATGCAACTTTGACTTTATTTTTGACAACATGAACATCAAGGCATTGTGGCTAAAATTTAAGTAACAATGATGCTAAAAACATATACCTTCGAATTATCATCACAATCACCCAAAGCCACACAGCCTTCAGGAATAATGCTTGATTTTCCATCATCAATTGTTGAAACCCTGGAAGTCCCAGGTTCAGTCTCAGGCACCTTCTGAAGATTGTTGTCTCCCTTTTCTTTCTCTATCTTATCATGCTTTCCTGATTTGTCCTTAGATTCTTTGTTCTCGAATGCTCTTTCATCCTAAAATCATTTTCAAAATTAGTAACATTCCTAATTAGGCAGCTCACAGAAATTGTGAATTGCATTAAAGCATAAAAGATCATACTGCAACTCGACGTTTTTTCTCTCTCTCTCCTCTCTCAGCATGTAAATTTTCCTCGTGCACAAGCTGCTGTTGCCTCCTTGCTTCCTCAACACGCTTTCTTTTCCTTTCCCTCTCCTTTTTTCTTCTTCCTCCCTCTGTCTTTTCTTTGCTGCCATATCTGCCTCTTTTCTCTTGCGCTCTTGTTCTCTCTTTTCCTTTTCTAGCTCCAACTGCCTCAAGTTTTGTTCCCCCATCTTTGCTCGCTCAAGTTTCAAGGCTTCCTTCCTCATCTTTCGTTCATTTTCTTTCCTTTCTGCAAGACGCTTTGCAACCTCAGCAGCCTCCAGGGCCTTCACTTTAACATCCTTTTTTCCTGCAAGGAAGCACCAGAATTCCAAAATCAAATATCAACTGAAACAGAGGAGATGCTGGAATGCTTTAATAAACATACACTATTTGTTCAACAAATAAGTAACAAGATCATTTTATGCCTCTTCTTAGGCATGTTTACCATCCTATGAAAATTGAATGGGCACTCTGAAATTGTACAGAGAAATGGAACCACTGAAGAAAATGGAAGCCATTCCAAAACAATAGCATGGAACGTTGTGATATCACTTTCAAACGCAAGTAAATAAAATCCCCCATATAAAATGAGGCAGCTCATCAAGCACCTTCATTGAATTTATAAATTAAGGCAACAGGTGTTAATAAATATGGATTATAACTTAATCAAAATTGCAGTTATATTTGAATATAACAAATGCAATCTGAACATCAATAACATGCTAAATAGTTTCAGTGCTCTTATTATTATTGAAATGCCTTAATCAAGCCTGTTTGGGTCAACGACATAAAGTATCTGTGATTGTTGACTAAATGGTACAAGTTTTACAAACAAAATAAACACAAGAAACTTAAATAACCAGATGCAGCTCATTTGGAGCCTTGTGTTTAAACTTCAAAATGCACAATTATATTTCAAGCTGACAACAAAAACAATCTGAAATCTGGACAAACAGCAAACCGTGTGTGTTGAGAGAAAACATCAAACTATATTGGATTCAAAATTCAACAAAATTAAAATTGAAAATGCCTTGACCAATTCTTTTATATTGAACTCCATAGATAAATCAAAAAGATCAAATGTAGTCATCCAAGTGAAGGATTTTGAGCTGAAAACTGAGACTTTGGAATGGTGAAGGATTATGCTTATAGAGACACATTTCCAATCATGCAGTAAGTAATCTTTCCATAACCCTGAAAAATTCAAACTGTGGATCTAAACCTTGTAATCTGACCCTGTTACTTTAAGCATATGGTACTACAAAGCACATTCAGAGATCCATAAATTGATGAATTTAACTTTTATGGTATCCATTTATCAAAGGAAGGAACAAAAAGGTAGTCTTCTTAATAAATAATCATTTAACTGGAACAGACAGGACAAAAGAAGAGAAGATTTAGATGTTACCTGTAACAACTGCAGCTGCTTGTTTTTGTTGCACAAGTGGAATGAAAGAAGTAATGTTTGATACAATATTGTTATGTCTAGACTCGGTCAACATAAGACCTGGACCTCCTTTTCTCAAATTGGTTTTTCCAGATAAGATTGGCTTACTCGATCTGTTATAGTGAGATTTATTGGCCCTTTTAACACCATTTACTCCCAGTATGCTCTCATTCTCCTTTGCCTTAATATTATGTTTCCTTCTATTGCCTTTCTGGTTTCCATGCTTCAATTTGTCCCTTCTACAAGTGCCAGTGAAGCTACACTCTGTGTTGACAGAAGCAAGACTGTATCTATCACTAACTGTCTCAGATTCACAAGCCAATATTGGAGTACTTTTTGTAATTGTACTATCAGCAAGAGGTTCTCTTTTGACTGAGCTGATTATCTGTTCTAAACCAACACCATCCTGAAATGTTTCAAGTACCTCAATGGTGTTCTCATTTTCTTCACTGATGCAGGGAAGATCTGGAATGGAGCTCGCTCTCTTCTCTGAACTCCCAGACTTCGATGTGACTCCTTCCCAGAGCTTCCCTATTGGAGATGAATAAGGTTTCCTAATATCCCATGTAGATGGAGCATTAGACAATGCTGGGGAGTCAGAATGCAGCCTCCCATGCAAGGTGTCGTTGACTTCATCAGTGAAACAATTGGAACTGGCCTCAAGTTGCTTGCCAGTGTTACTATTCATATTAACAGTGGTGCTCATCTCCATCCCTTCTAAAACTCCATTTGGGACAGAGTGATTTAAATTTAGTGTTTTATGTTTGTTAAATGCAGAAGAAAAATGGCATAGAGGTGTTTCAAGGCAAACAGATTTGCAAAGCCGCTCCACAGCAATTGCACTTGCTAGTGCATTATCTGAAAGAACCAATTGTCCAAAGTCAGTTCCCTCATTTTCCACACCAAACCACTCATATACAGGCATACTTTGATCAGCACCAATCAAATCCATTGATTGACTATGTGGAGAACTAACCAAACTAGATGGTGATTTGCCATTCCTTCCCAGATGAGATTTCCTTTGCTGCATGGTCGTTTCAGTACAAGTAAAAAATTCAGTGCTACCCAGTTCAAATCTATCTTCAAGTTGCAGTGAAAATTGGTTCTTTTCTGCAGTGTGCTGCCCTGTTTCATCGAAGATGACAATAGTAGGGCTTGACGCAACTTTTTCCAATGAACTACCTTGAGAAACTCCAGTGGAACGTTTTGTCAAACTTGATGGTGAGCATCCTCCACATGTATTTGCACTTCTACTCCTTCCTTCCAAGCCAGGTTCAACCTGTCAGACAACAGTTAACCATAAGTTCTGCATCAGAATCCTTAACACAGCCAGAAAATCAGAGTAATACAAGAAAATCTACCATGATAAAATTCCATTCAGGCTTAAACCCTATTATACGTATCGATTTTTGCACAACCCTCTCTCAGTAGCACAAGTTAGAAGTAAAAATCTTATGCAGTATTTTGGTACAGTTCCTCAAAGAATGTCACTATTTTTAGGTCAAATAAAGGGTTAATGATCAGCCAGAATAATTCAACTGAGTTGTTGACAAAAGGTACAGGGTTTGTGTAAAGAGGGAGGGGGAGAATGCACCTAAATATCTGGCAGCACCGTTGTGGAAGATGTTGACACTATAAGCATTTTATTAAATTCCATTCGTCTTCTCTGGCAATTCATTTCTTTTGTTTGCAGTTGAATTACTTGAACATATGCATAGGCTAATATGTTGCCAGCAACTGCATAAACTGAAAATTAGTGGACAGATATCCCAATATAATCACATTCCACAGCATGCTATGTGGATAGTTATTAAGTGATCTACTTGTAACTTTCATTTATCACCCAGACTCAACACAAAACAGCAGACTAGTGGTTCATTATACCCTTTTTTTTTTTTTTTTTTTTGTAAGTAAAATTTTCATGAATAGAGAAACTTTGTTCCAGAATTCATAGAAAGCAAAATAAAAAGCTCCACAGTTCATCGAAAGGAATACCTCTTCAACTTGCAGCTTTGGTGATGGAAATTCAGGCCCTGGCATATGGGGCCCTGAGTTCTCATGAATGCCTTCAAATGAGCTCTTGATAGCATTCGGTTGCATGTCATCCCCCACATGGGACATATAAAACCTTTCTGATATTTGGACAGCATCTGGATCTTCTATAGCATTTACATTTCCCTTCACACTATCCGTAACAATATGCTGTCTCATCAAACTTGAAGAAGCATAACAGGAACTAATCAGTTGACCAGCTATCTTTCTCCTCTTATGCTGAGGCCATGAACTCATGATGTAGCAATCTCCATTTTGGTTTTCAGAAATGGCTGAATTAATTTTCTTATGCACAGAGTTAGTGGTATTTTCATCAACTAGAAGAGCAGTCTCATTCACAAAAGCTTCAGATGAATCATTCCGAGGTTTCTCTTCTTTGACAAGAACTTCCTGGTCCTCAAGAAATGGCATCTTAATGGACAAGATGGGCTTCTCTTGGTTGTTAACGGATACTTTATCCAATATACCTGTTGAATGCAGAAAGGTAGAAATGCGTCTCTCTGATGATAGAGACTGTTGTTTGTTCTCTGTTGTAGGATTAGCAATGTCATTCAAACTACAGTCTTCCACTTCATCAAAATCAAGCTGCTTGGGCTTCACTGGCATAGCACAGTCAGTGGCTGGCCTTGAGACTGAAACTTCCATTCCAAGGCTAGAACCATCTGAGCTAGACCTGGAAGTAACAGAACAAGCTTCAACTGGCCCATCAGAATCCATATCAGTTCCTGCAACAACTGCATCACATATACCCAGGTCAACCATGTTCTCGCTTTCGATACAAGGCAGGGCATTTGCTTGAGTAGCCAACACTTCCTGAAGATCAACAACTTCTCTAACCAGATTCGATGGTTGATGAGGTTCTGATGATCTGCCAACGGACTGCATCGGTGAATTGTCGTTATCCTTCACTTTATTAGATGAGGTATCCGCTTTTGGAAGCCCGTCAACTACAACTTGCTGGTTGGAACTTTTGGATCCTGTTATTTTTCCATAATAAGAGCAGTTTGTCCCTTCATTGTTCTGGCAGTTCGACATCATTTCATTCACTCCACAATTGTCATCAGTGATATTGAAAGGTTTAACCAATTCCCTAAAGTCATCAACAGGGTTGGAAAGCCGCTTTGATTCTTCCTCGGCATTACCACAAGAGCCATCCAGCTTCAAAGATTCACAGTCAGCTTGTTGGCTGCAGCTTCTAGATCTTGTTATCCTCCCAGAACAACCACCGCTTCCCTTTTCCTTGCTCCATTTATCACTTACTTTTGCTTTCACCGCTCCATAACTTTCATTGGATATAACAGATGAATGTTTGGCCAATTCTGATATCTCAGTGACACAATTAGGCTGTAATGATGATCCATCAATAGACTCTCTATCCCTACTGTCTTTGTTGTCGATATAAGAAGAACTATCCACATCCAAAGGCTGCTCTGTAGAGTTGGGTTTAGGGCTTGAACTCGTACATCTTGGAACTCCACCAGAGTACATGCTGCTAGTCATTTCATTGCCCCTGTGATTGCCTTCGTTTTCTTTTTGAGCTTCAGAACTTGCATGACCAACAACAGAAACAAGTTCTGTTAGATTAACCTGGTTAGGCTGTTGTTTTGAAATAGACCCTGTAAGATCATCTTCCTTAGCAATGTAAGTAGAGTTGCACACATTCCCGGACTCTTTTGCAGAGCTGGCTTTTTGTCTAGAACTTCTAGATCTCGGACTTCTGCCATGGTAAACATCACCAGAGTTTTCCTTTACCATGCATTCACCTATTTTCACCTCTTCTACAACGCAACTTTTATTACTTGCCTCTACAAGTTTGACCAAGTCTGACTGATCAACATGATCAAACTGTAGAGAAGTAACCCCAGACCCTCTAGATCGACTAGTACAAGAACCAACATTATTTTCCGCACATGGACAGGTTTTACCTGTTTTGACACTATTGCGAAGCTCCAGAGCCTTTTGCCTTGATTTTGATCTCTGAATCCTCGCCAGTGATTGACTGTGATCAGGTATACTGTCTGGCATTCGAGCACCTCTACAATCTTGTGGAGAAGTAACGCTAACATCCAGCTCAGGAACTCCATCTAAGTTACATTGAACATCATCAATAACAGGAAAGTGTGACAAAACAGACAATCTATCACCTGCATCAAAGCTTTTGTCGACAAGATGAAGTTCCGTGCATAAACCATTCGGCAGGTCACTGTTATTGGCAGTAGTAGCAGGCTGCACTGAGTAGCCGCTACAGGAATAAGGGTTTGCAGGCTGAGGCTGGGGCAGTAAGAGTCCTGATATGAGCTCCTCTTTATTCAATTCTGTAATAAGACAGCAGTTTGTGGATAATTGAGGGATCATCGAAGGACAAAAACCAAAAGAAACTCATATATAAAATCCAAAAGAAAAATCCGCGTGCTTGCTTGCTTGATAATCTGTCCTAATTGCTATAAGCTGCAGTCCAGCAAGCATTTGAAATAGAAAACCTAGGCACCATTTGTCTATAGTTTTCTGTCTGAAGCAAAGTTAAGGTGGTTTTACTCTTTCAAAATTCTAATCTCTCTATCATGCCTAAACCAAAAGTTGTCGATAATTAATTGGAATTTGAGGACGGTTAATTCATATGGAAAAATTGTGATTTATGTTGCCATTAACAGCCAAACACAATCCACAGTATAATTTAAAAAAAAAAAAAAAAAAAAAAAAAAAAAAAAACCAAAAACCCTAGCATTGAAAACATTCATAAAAGTAAAATGGAACTCAAAGCAGGAAATTTAAACGCCCTACCAGTAGAAAAACATTCAATTATCAGTATTCATAAATCCATTGTGGGAGAGATAGTGAAATTACCATTTGGAAGGGAAGAGAGAGACGGGGAGAAGAGCCAGGGAGGAGGGGTAGTTCCGCCAAGAACACATTTAGAGGCGAGACGGTGATCGAAGAGATCGACCTGGTGCTTGACTTGTTCTGTAATCGACAACTTCCTTTCAAAGATCTGCAAAAACAGCTTCTCTATCGTAGTCGCCATTTTCTCCTTCTTCTTCTTCTCCTTCTTCTTCTTCTTCTTCTTCTTCTTCTTCTTTTCAGTGAATCTACGTCATTAATTAATAATCAATAAATTCACTGATGAGTTCTCAAAAATTTGAGAGAAGACTGCGAATATTCTGTTCTGTGACAGAGGGAGAGAAATGGGATTTGATTATAGACGGTGAAGATTTGATTGGGACGAGCGCGAATTTCGATTTCAAATTTCAACTGTTACGTTGCATTTGTTTCTAAGGTGACCTTTGTTCAAAGATTAAAAAACATGAGAATGAATTGTTACAATGATAATTTTTAAAAAATATTTAGTGTATTGATAAATTAAAAGTAAATTGTTAGTAGACAAAGAGATAAAATAATTAAATTATTAACAATGACTGTAAAGATAAGAATAAAAATATATTTAGTTTTTAGAGATAAAAGGAAAGAGAGAATTTAAAAAAAATAAAAAATAAACAATAATATTGTTCCAAGGGTAAAATTTTATCCACTAGAAACGCTAATCTGGAGAGTAATGATTTTTATTTCCGTGATGATTAATATTTCACAAAAAGTAAAAATAAATAAATTTAAATTTTACAAAGGTAAATTTTTATATAAAATGAGTCAAATCTTTTTGAAATATTAGTCAAACTATAAATATAGACTAGTCACTTGCTCGCACTATACTCGTTGGTTCGACATAACAAAATCATTTTAAAATTTTATAATTTTTTTATTTAATTAAATTTTTTTAATATTCTTCATAAATGTTCTGCTTAAAAAATATGATTCATTCTTCTTTATGAATTGATTTTAAAATAAAAACTTGTAATAATTTTAATTAAAAAATTAATCAAGAATTAAAAAATATATTTTTCATAATATTGTATTTCAAAAAATAAATTTATAATTAATTGACAAACTTTTATAAAAAATTAACAAATAAAAAAAAATTATTCTTATTCAATGTTGATGATAAGATTAACTTTTGAAACTATTCGTGCAATACCGCACATAGATAGAACAAAATCTTTTCAAAATTTTATAATTCTTTCATTAATTTTTTAGTTAATTATTAATATTTTTTCACAAAATCCCTGCTTAAAAAAGCATGATTTATTCTTCTTTATTTATGAATTCTTAAATAAAAACTTGTTATAATTTAAATTTGAAATATTAATTAAGAATTCAAAAATATATATTTTTAAAAATATATTTTTTTAGAAGCGTATATATAAAAAATAAAGTTACAATTAATATATAGACTTGTATAAAAATTAACTAATGAAAAAATAAAATTTTGTTCTTATTTAATACTCGGTGAGAAGATTAGTTTTTTAAAGTATATGCATTTAATCTATTTATATTTATTTACAAAATAATCAATAATATTAGCATAAAAACTATATTTGAATAATTGGTTGGTTCCTTTAAAAATTATTTTAATTATTTTATTTCAAATAAATTGGTTCTATAATGTTAAAAAAATATTCATAGTAAATAATTTGTATTATGTTGGAAGATATATAGTAAATTTTTATTAAAAATAATGATTCAATAGTTTTTTTTTATACATTTTGACCATACCTAGTGAATTAAGATAAATTATTTGAAATACGCTTTTATTCTTTTAGAATAAAATAATTATATATTTATATATGTGCAACTATCATTTCAAAAATCTAAGGATTCATGATATATGTTATAAAATGAGTCAAATCATTTTGAAATATTAGTCAAACTATAGAAATAAATAGTTTATAAACAAATTTTTGAGTCATTTTTTAACGAAATAGGAGATTTAATCAAGTTCTCTTGTTAGCTAAACTTAAATTTTCATCTAATTGATGCTAACCTAAAAAGATTAATACTCTCACTTATGCTTATATAATAGACCAATATGTTCTTATATTTTAAAACACCTCTAATTTATCTTTATTATTTGAACTGATTTTTAATTTATCATTTTAGTTAAAATTTTTGGTTAATTCATTATAAATGAAGGATTTGATTTGCACATAGTATATGATTTCATAAAAATATCTTTATTATTTGACACAAGTGATTTATATCTACTAATATAAAGATCATGGAGTCAAACTATAGGAATAAATAGTTTATAAAAAAATAATGGAGTCATTTTTTAATGAAATAGGAGATTTAATCGAGTTCTCTTGTTAGCTAAACTTAAATTTTCATTTAATTGATGTTAACCTAAAAAGATTAATACTTTCACTTATGCTTATATAATAGACCAATATGTTCTTATATTTTAAAACACCTCTAATTTATCTTTATTATTTGAACTGATTTTTAATTTTTAATTTTAGTTAAAATTTTTGGTTAATTCATCATAAATGAAGCATTTGATTTGCACATAGTATATGATTTGATAAAAATATATTTATTATTTGACACAAGTGATTTATATCTACTAAGATAAAGATTATTTTTTGATAAATTAACCAAAAATATATTAGAAACTGAAAAAAATAAAAATAAAATAGATTAGAGACATTTTAAAATATAAAGACATATTAAAAAATTGACTTATTATATAAAGATAGGTAACAGTATTAACTCTAACTCAAAACATGTGATATGTATGTATGTGTAGTATTAAGTTTATATAATTAGACTATTGGTATGCAATTTTTCACACTTTAATTTTTTTTCCTATAAATACAATTATTTCATTCAAATTCGGTTAATTCTTCAGTTATTATTATTATTATTACTGTTATTATTATGGCATGTCCTACCTTAACTCACTATTAGTACATATATTTTCACTTTATTTCAATCGAGTCCATGAACTTTGAATTTTTTTTCATATGCTTGTCTTTTTTTATTATACCAATTAAACACTTTCATTAAATTTATTTTTTGTAATAAAATACCCCTCCAAAAATAATATTATATTTAATAAATGAAAATATTTTAAATTAAATAAATTCTATTTAAAAAAATCTTTTAATTAATGAAAAGTTATCTACATCGAAGCTAAAAACTAATTAATAATTAATTAAAACTAAAAGTAAATTATTAGTACAATTAATATATTAATTATTTTCTCCAAGTAAATAGAAATCATGTGATTGTAAAATAAATAAATTAATTAACGAATTTCTAATGGAAGTACTCACCGGAACTATATAAAAAAAAAAAAATTAGTCAATAGGAAGACCTAAGTAAATCTTAAATTTTATTCGAAACTTCTAGCACTAAATAATTCATTTAGGTTTGTTTTCTACTTTGATTCGTAGTTTAGAGAATTTGTCACATTTTATCCTAAGTTTTAAACTCTATCAAAGGTATCCTAAAAAAAGAAAATAAAATGATTTAATTAAAGATATTCTAATTTAGGTTTAAGGATAATTTAAAAATTGTTTTCTAATTAATTGATAATTAATTGGGCCAATAGGTTTAATTTAAAAGCTTGTACGATATTTTGGTGAAAGGATAAATTTGAGCCCTATTGGATAAGGCTCGGGGTTTATAAGGATAAGATCAAGCAAGCTCACACATGTTGCAACTCTTTGTCCTTGGAGGACAAGAATGCCCCTATATAAATAAAAGAAAGAGAGGTGGCAAGGTAAGGCTAAGAAAAACACAAAGACATGACAAAAAGAAAAAAAAAGCGTTTCTCTCCTCAAAAGCTTGAGTTGTCGTATCCTTCCTTAAAAAACATGAGTTATCATAAAAACCCTAACCGATTTCTTTAGAAAACAAATTAACCATACAAAAAGATTGGAGCTAGCACTCTATGATTTCTATGACCTCCTTTGTGGGTGTTTAAGTAGCGTGAATTATCGATAGAGGTCGGACACTTGGACGGTTCTCTTTTCGTTTGATTGTTTTCTATGCTACAAGAGGTAATCTTTCACCTATATTTATATTCACGTTAATATATGATTAGTTGATTCAATAGCATGATCTTGAAAACCTTAGATGGAGGATTTTTTTTTATTCTACACCATTATGCAATGCATGATCTTTCAATTGGTATCGAGCCTCTGTTGAATCTTTAATTATATATTATGTTAATTATGATTAACTATATGAATTAATTATAAATCTAAGGTTTTGGTATTCTATAATCATTTAAATTAATTTTTTGAGCTGAAAAAAGGTGGACGTGTGCAAGGTCAATGTTGGCGCTCATACATGCGACAACACCTGAGCCGAGCACACCTGGGCCGAGCACACGCCGGGAATGTGCAAGTTCATGTGTGCACTAGGCTTGTGGCAAATTCAAGCATGCATTGGGCATACGTAAGGCTTGGGGGAAGGCTAAGTGCGCGTTAGGCATGCGTAAGGTCATGTATGCCTCGCACCCGCTAGACGTACACGAACGTGCTAGACACTAGGCCAAGCACACGCGAGCTTGCTCGATAGTAGTGTCAAGCATGCACGAGAGTGCCAAGTAAAAGGGAGGTGCATTCACATGCGCCGAGCCTATTGGCACTGGGCATTGAAAGGCCAATGCCCATTGCCAAATGCATGCTAGTCTAGTGACAATTGCTAGCTAGTGCCTAGGGTGTGGCAACCCACGGGCCTCTTAGGCGTAAAAACCCATGGGCCCAAGGTTCGAAAAGTCTAAAAATTAAAATTTAGATAAATTTTATAAATTTTAATTATTATTTACAAAATGATCAAAACCATATTTTTATAATTATGATTAAAATGAAATCGTTTCATTTGTATGTCATGTATCAATATGATTGAAGCATGAGTAAATGATGTAGATGAGTCGACCTAGTTTTTAAGAATGTATGGTTGTAATTTTTTATTGGTTAAATGGGGTCCGCATGTCCTATTTTCTTTATCATTCTAATATATTTTTCTTCTCATTTTACTCCTCTCAAATGTAACTTAAGGTTTCTTATTCAAATAAATATAAAAGTAGAAGATAGAATATTAGAATAGATTCAAGGACAAAAAACCAAGAAGAAAAAACAATCCGAAAGAATTTATAATAATTTTTTACCTAATTACTTGATC